CACTCTGACACCTCGTCACGTACCATGACTCGTTGTTGCCTTCCTGTCAGGTATTCTCTGATCCATTGCAGTGCCTTTCCTGTTATGTGTGCCTGATCCTCTAGCTTTTGCAGTAACCTCTTGTGAGGAACTGTGTCGAAGGCCTTCTTGCAGTCCAAAAAAATGCAGTCGATCCACCCCTCTCTCTCTTGTCTTACTTCTGTCACCTTGTCATAAAACTCTAGTAGGTTTGTGACACAGGATTTTCCCTCCCTGAAACCATGCTGGTTGTCAATTATTCACCTGTTTCTTTCCAGGTGCTCCACCACTCTCCTCCTTATGATCTTCTCCATGACCTTGCATACTATACACGTTAGTGATACAGGTCTGTACTTTAGTGCCTCATGTCTGTCTCCATTTTTAAAAATTGGGACTACATTTGCCATCTTCCATACCTAGGGGAGTTGCCCAGTTTCAAATGATGTGTTGAAGATCTTTGCTCTCTGCTCCCTCTTTAAGGACCCACGGAGAGATGTTGTCTGGTCCCACCGCCTTTGAGGTGTCAAGTTCGCATAGCAGCTTCTTCACCTCCTCCTTGGTTATATGTACCTCATCCAGCACTTGCTGGTGCACCCCCCTTCTCTGATTTCCTGGAGTCCTACTGGTTTCCAATGTAAATACTTCTTTAAATCTTGTGTTGAGCTCCTGACATACCTCCCGGTCGTTTCTTGTGAATTCCCCATCACCCTTCCTCAGTCTGATTACCTGGTCCTTGACTGTTGTTTTCCTCCTGATGTGGCTGTACAACAGCTTCGGGTCAGTCTTGACTTTCGATGCTATGTTATTTTCGTATTGCCGCTGAGCCTCCCTTCTTATCTGTGGATATTCGTTTCTGGCTCTTCGGCTAATCTCTTTATTTTCCTGAGTTCTCTGTCTTCTGTACCTTTTCCATTCTCTAGTACACCTAGTTTTTGTCTCCCTACACCTTTGGGTGAACCAAGGACTCGTTCTGTTCTTCCCATTATTTCCCTTGGGAGCAAACCTCTCCTCTGCCTCCTTGCATTTTGTTGCCACATAGTCCATCATTTCTTGTACTGGTTTTCCTGTCAGTTCCCTCTCTCACTGAATGTCTTGAAAGAAGTTCCTCAAGCCTGAGTAGTTCCCCATTTTGTAGTTTGGTTTTTCCCACCCTATTCCTGCTGCTCTCTCCACTTGGAGCTCAACTATGTAGTCGAACCACAGAACCACATGATCACTAGCTCCTAGGGGCCTTTCATACATGATATCCTCGATGTCAGAACTACTCAAGGGGAATACAAGGTCCAGTCTTGCTGGTTCATCCTCTCCTCTCTCTCTGGTAGTGTCTCTAACATGTTGATGCATGAGGTTTTCCAGTACCACATCCACCATCTTGGCTCTCCATGTTTCGGGACCCCCATGGGGCTCCAGGTTTTCGCAGTCAATCTCCTTGTGATTGAAATCACCCATAACTAGTAACTTTGCTCCCCCCATGTGTGCTCTCCTGGCCACCTCGGCTAGTGTGTCGACCATTGCTCTGTTGCTCTCATCGTATTCTTCTCTTGGCCTCCTGCAGTTCTGTGGTGGGTTGTACATTACTGCAATTATCACCTTATGTCCCTCAGACTGGATTGTTCCTACTAAGTAGTCCCTTTCGCACGTGCCATCCATTCCTTCCATTTTTTCAAACCCCCACTGGTTTTTAATTAGCAGTGCAACTCCTCCCCCTCTCCTCCCTCTGTCTTTCCTGAGGATTTGATATCCGGATGGAAAGATTGAATCTGTTATTATTCTGGTGAGTTTTGTTTCTGTGAGTGCTATTATGTCTGGGGATGTCTCCTTGATTCTTTCGTGCCACTCTTCATACTTATTTGTTATTCCATCTGCATTTGTATACCACACCTTCAACTTCTTTTCTAAGATTGTGGTCTGGGAGGTGTATTGGGGTTGGGGAAGTGGGAGACCTGATAAGGAACTATGGATGGTTGCTATGGGGGTGGAGTTTGTAATGCAGTGGGTGGGGGCATTGGATGTGGCATGGGTGTTTTGGTTTAGAGTGTTTGGTTGCACTGAGGTTGACCTGGTTGGGAGGCTTCTATAGGAAGTTGTGAGGGAGGCTGTATTTGATCTTCCTGTGTCTCGGATCTCCTGTGTGTCTTCTCCATCCCCTCTCTTTCCTCTTTTCGCCTTTGTACCATCTCTCTCTGTTTCTGCCTTTCTGCTTGTGTTCTGTCACGGTTGAGATACACCTTCCTGTATGCTGGCATGTCCCTTAATCGTGCTTTCTCCTGCAGGATCCTGTTCCGAGTCGATTCTGCCTTGAAGGTCACTTTCGCTGGCCGGGTTCTTTTTTTTACAAACCCCCCTATTCTCCGAAAATTTTCCAGCTGGGTCATGTCGTCTTCTCCTATTGCTTTCATGATGCTTTCAATTGCTTTTTTTCCCTTGTTTTCTTGCTTCATATGTTTCCCCTTCAACTTCCTGGAGCCCATACACAAAGACTGACCTCACCCTTTCATTCTCCCACTGCATATCCCTGTGTATCCCCTCATTCAATTTGATTTCCTCCATTGCAGCTTTCCTTTCTTCAGTTTCACTAGCTAATGTACTTGGGCTCACGGGCCTGTCATTTTCCCTTATCGGCTTTCCTTGGGCTCTGCTGTGGTCTGTTAGGGCTTCCACATATATCTTAGCTCTTTCATTTACTACAGTCTCCACTGATTGAGCTTCTACATGCAGTTTTGCTCCTTCTTTCCCTACAGTCCCCTTATTTGTGGCTGAGGTAGCAGTCTCTGTTGTCAATCCCAAAATGTTCTTTAGTTCTTTAGGCTGTTTCAGATTTTTCAGTTCCTCTTCTAAACTCTGTATCCTAGCCTCTGCTGCTTTGACTAGCACCTCCCACTTCCTGCTTTCCATATGTGTGTGTGTGTGTGTGTGTGTGTGTGTGTGTGTGTGTGTGTGTGTGTGTGTTTGGTCACAACAGGGTAGAATAAAGACTTGTGTGTATGTGGGGTCACGACTAGGTAGGGTTAGTGGTCTGTGTTTCGGCCATGATATTGTAATTCCTGCGCAAAGATCCTGTAGGGCAAGTCGTCCTTCTCACAGCTGACATGTGACTGAGGCCGTAGCCGGGGCTCGGCCTTCCCCAGGGTGCCTTGTGGCGGGAAAGGGAGTGCCTAAGGCATTTAGTGTGTTTGAGAAGTGTAACTACTACGTTAAGCTAATGACTATCTTTATCTTAGCCTAAATATATGTAGCAGTAATGTACAATACAGTACTTGTGAAGGCTTAGTGACTAAGTTATATTCTAGAAATTTAAGTGTCTCTACAGAATTGGCATCTGTCTCAGGCACTGTCCCTTCCCCTTACATGTCCCAACTGGGGGTGAGTATAATGGTTCTGGGGAATCACAAAAATCCCCACAACAACAACATCAGCATGAACAATAACTTCAGCATAACAACTTCAGCATCAACAACCAGATAGCATCATCAATACAGATTATGTGAATTTAGGAAAGTGTTCATCATACCTGAGGCATAGTAAGATCTGGTCATCATACCTGGTGTGTGCTAGGTTGTGTTCATCATTCCTGGTATGTGCTAGGTTGTGTTCATCATTCCTGGTGTGTACTAGGTTGTGTTCATCATACCTGAGGCATAGTAAGATCTGGTCATCATACCTGGTGTGTGATAGGTTGTGTTCATCATACCTGAGGCATAGTAAGATCTGGTCATCATACCTGGTGTGTGCTAGGTTGTGTTCATCATTCCTGGTGTGTACTAGGTTGTGTTCATCATACCTGAGGCATAGTAAGATCTGGTCATCATACCTGGTGTGTGATAGGTTGTGTTCATCATACCTGAGGCATAGTAAGATCTGGTCATCATACCTGGTGTGTGCTAGGTTGTGTTCATCATACCTGGTGTGTACTAGGTTGTGTTCATCATACCTGGTGTGTACTAGGCTTTTGTTGATCATACATTATACCTGGTGTGTACTAGCTTGTGTTCATCATACCTGGTGTGTACTAGGCTTTTGTTGATCAGGTCACTTGTTCTATCTAGGCTGGAATATTGCTGCACACTAACAACACCTTTCAAGGCAGGTGAAATTGCTGACCTAGAAAATGTACAGAGAACTTTCACGGCGCGCATAACGGAGATAAAACACCTTAATTACTGGGAGCGCTTGAGGTTCCTGAACCTGTATTCCCTGGAATGCAGGCGGGAGAGATACATGATTATATACACCTGGAAAATCCTAGAGGGACTAGTACCGAACTTGCACACGAAAATCACTCACTACGAAAGCAAAAGACTTGGCAGACGATGCACCATCCCCCCAATGAAAAGCAGGGGTGTCACTAGCACGTTAAGAGACCATACAATAAGTGTCAGGGGCCCGAGACTGTTCAACTGCCTCCCAGCATACATAAGGGGGATTACCAACAGACCCCTGGCAGTCTTCAAGCTGGCACTGGACAAGCACCTAAAGTCGGTTCCTGACCAGCCGGGCTGTGGCTCGTACATTGGTTTGCGTGCAGCCAGCAGCAACAGCCTGGTTGATCAGGCTCTGATCCACCAGGAGGCCTGGTCACAGACCGGGCCGCGGGGGCGTTGACCCCCGGAACTCTCTCCAGGTAAACTCCAGGTAAACATCATACCTGGTGTGTACTAGGTTGTGTTCATCATACCTGGTGTGTACTAGGCTTTTGTTGATCATACATCATACCTGTTGTGTACTAGGTTGTGTTCATGATACCTGGTGTGTACTAGGATGTGTTCATCATACCCGTTGTGTACCAGGATGTGTTCATCATACCTGGTGTGTGCTAGAATGTGTTCATCATACCTGGTGTGTACTGGGTTGTGTTCATTATACCTGGTGTGTGCTAGGATGTGTTCATCATACCTGGTGTGTACTGGGTTGTGTTCATCATACCTGGTGTGTACTAGGATGTGTTCATCATACTGGTGTCTACTAGGATGTGTTCATCATACCTGAGGCAGAAGATCATTATCAATGAGCAACACCTCGGCATCTTGCAACACTTGAAACATCATACCTGAGGCAGAAGATCATTATCAATGAGCAACACCTCGGCATCTTGCAACACTTGAAACATCATACCTGAGGCAGAAGATCATTATCAATGAGCAACACCTCGGCATCTTGCAACACTTGAAACATCATACCTGAGGCAGAAGATCATTATCAATGAGCAACACCTCGGCATCTTGCAACACTTGAAAGTCGTCTTCGGTCAGACCTCCACGAGTAATTTCCATCTGAGGAACATCTGTTGAAAAGATTTTTTCTCTAGACTTAAAAATAATTTTATGAGTCAAAATAATATAATTATTTTAAGAAGCACTAAAGAAATACACAAAAGTCACTAAAATTAATAAGGTTAGTTATCCAGCTCTTCAAGGAAAGTGATATGTCTTATTGTTATTAAAGGAGCTATTATCTAAATCTGTATGTTACAAAAAACGCGATTCTAAAAGCTTAGAGATCTCCAGTGAATACTAGAAAGTACTGCCCTTCTAGCATCCAGCCTGTTACTGGGTTTTCGTAACAAGTAGTCAGTATCCTTGTCCAATTATCCATTAGAATTAAGTATGAATTATTAGTGCTTCAGGATTACAACTGGTAGGCTACTAACTAGATTTAATAACTTTATTAAAGTTGTCTAGGCGTATATTTTCAAATTAAATTAAATTAATCACAGTAATCAAAATATTAATCACTTCTCTTGTGTACTGTATTATTGTGCTGAAAGCACATATCACATTTATAATTCTTAAGTACCATCTGGTACATTAACATTTAAAAAGATATTATAAATATGTACAAGTAAGTTTGTGTGTATGTGTGTAAGTACTCCAAGTAGTTCACTATGTCTCACGACTCGACTAGACTTAAATAAGTGACTGACAAAGTCCTCAAATAAACTAACTTCTTGACCAACTGGCAGTCAGAACAGTCTGCTTGAACAATAAAAAGAATGCTAAGCCCAATAGCAATAAAACAAGCAACTGCGACACCAATCAGGAACAAGGAGATAATATAAAGACAGCTAGTAGGGACCATCAGCAGATCCTCCACAAAAGTCACAAAGCTCCCATACTACTGAATCTAAGTTCAGCATAAGAAAATACCCGACTGTGACAATACACAGATACCAGTACAAATTAGGTCAGAAGCTACAGCTCAGGACCCGAGTTACTCAGAGTGTCTATGCGACACACAACCTCAGTACAACGTCGAAAATCTCTAAGTCTATCCAAAGTTCTGTGAACAGAGTCTCCAGAACTAACAAGAATAATAATGAGACAGAGACGATCTTCCAATAAGAGCCAATAAGGGAGATTTAGGCACTTGTCAGGGATACGTCCAACAACCCAAGAGAGTCTAGACCAGACTGAATACTTCAGGCGAGGTGTGGACAACCCCCCTCCTCGATCACGTGATAGCTCTGAGGACAGCTGCAGCTCAGCAACAGAAGCCGGCAGGGAAACGAGCAAAGAGGGATAATTACAGTAGTTAGACAATCAAGACTTGAACTTTGAGCACATAATGTATGTGTTACATCCTACCTAACAACATAACTAAGTCAAATAATAATGTAAAGCAATATTTTCACGATTTAGCTATTAACACAAATATAAGCAATATAAAATTATATGAAAAGGTAATAATTATATACATATCATTTTATTATAATTACATTGCAACCATTGGGGGTTGAAACATGTAGCAATGCTTTTTAGTTTCTGAACCGTTTTTCATAATGGTCATTATTTACACGCCATTAACTAATGAGAGTTCGCACATATTTAATGCAATTAAAGAAATTTATCAATAAAGATAGGTAAAATTATATGAACTGTACACCACAACACACACACAACACTTGTGGAGGAGTCCCGGTTTGGCTCGTGTTTTGGTGGTAATTTCTGACTGGCCGAAAGGGGAATAGTGTGGGATTAGGTGTGTGCACGATAAGAGGATATAATCCTTAGCCCCGTTAAAAAGGAAAATAAAAGTGATCACAGAAAAAAAAACAAAAAAAATTAGTGGCTGAGTGTTATTGGGGGCCTTTGGAAGGGGGGAAGGGTTTTGTGTCGGGCCCCTAAATAGTTTCCCCAAAATAACCCCCAGTGGGTATTTGAAGAAAAAGTGCGATCAAGCCCAGGGAGATAAGAGATATGTATAGAGTGTCAGTAAATACAGTGTGTGGGAAAAATTGAAGGGTGAGCTATAGTGCATACAGGAAGTTAGTGGAAAAATTCCGGAAAAGCATAAACTTAAACTTCTGGGAGACGGGGGCAGACCAGCACGTTACTGCACTGCCAGCCGCAAGAATTCACCTATTTGGTTGATGGGGTCAATGTACCTGCTCTGCTGGAATTGGGGGTCCTCCCTCGAGCTATCAGAATTAGAATAAGCAGCTTTAGGGTATAAAATAAATTTTTGAGGGCGGCTGTGGCGAACCCCTGTGTATTTTTTTTGAACGAATTTTTTTAAATGCATAGGTACAGTGGGAACCCAAAAGGGGTGGGTAATTACAATACTTGTGTACTACGTGGGAAAATAAGGATGTTTACATAAACATATCCACACAACTAGGTGAGAACAACTCGGGTTTAGGCAATTGAATAGCTTCCCAAAAACACCCCACCACACCACCACACACCACAACCACACACACAAAAAACACCATATATACAGGATTCACCCTTCCTGTAAAAGTGACACTAATCCTTTCCCCTTTCCCCCCCCATCTCTCCCCTCCTCTATTTCTTCTCTCTCTCTCTCTCTCTCTCTCTCCTCTCTCTTTCTCTCTCCCCTTTCCTCACCCTCTTTCCTCTCCTTTTCCTCTTTTCCCTCTCTTCCCTCTCTCTTTTCCCTTTCTATTCTCTCCTTTTCCCCTTGTCACCCCCCCCCTCTCTCTTACCTTTTCCTCTCTCTTATTTCTCCCCCTTTTCCCCTTTCTTTTCCCCCCTTCTAGGTCCCCTTCTCTCTCTCCCTCTCTCTCACCTCCCCCCCCTTTTTTTTTTTTTTTTCTCTCTTTTTTTACAAAAAAAAAAAAATGGTTGGGCTCGCGGGAAAATCAGGGACAGATGCAATGGTACTGGTAGGGGGAAGAATGGGGAACGTGGAAAAGGTTTAGAGCAAAAATGGAAAAAAATTAGGAGAGCTTTCTAAAAAAATAGAAAAAAAGGCTTCTGTGAAATGGGGGAAAAGAGGTTGGAGAGGAGAGAAAAATTGGGGAGGCACAAGTCGAAATGCGTACCCAGGGTAAAGGTCCCTAGTTTTGAGGTAACAGGCTAAAGCAAGTCTCAGGGGTAGTAACCAGAGAAGACATACCATACGAAGTGGAGGTGAACGGAAGGGAGATTAAATTATGCTAAGGTCTATAGCCTGCAAAGAAGGGCCCAGGGGGGGGAAAGGGGAAAGAGAGATGGTGAGTAGGAGGGAGATAAGTGAATGCTGGGCACAACCATGCTCCCAAGACCCAAGGAAAAAAATCAAGGGGAGAAAAGCCCACTTTACAGACAGGAACCAGAGTCACAGAGGAGAGGCAAGGGGGGAGGAAAGGGCCCAAATCAGTGATTATAAATGGGCTTGGGGAGAGGAGGAAAGGACAAACTAAAGCGGCAGGAAGGAAAAAAAAGGAGTTTGAGAAAATTATCACGGAAATAGGGGGGGAAAAACTGGATGAGTTGTAAATTTTCAGAGAATAGGGGGGTATTTGAAGGGGAGAACGCCCGATCAGCTGATTTCAGGACAGAAGTAGTGCAGAAAAGGATCCTCAAGAGAAACCACGGTTGAAAAATTGGAAGGTACAAGAAGGTTTCCTAGACAGAGACAGAACATAAAGAGAGACAGCAGCTGAGGGGGAAAAGGGGCAAAAAAACGAAAGGGTAGGAAAGGGACAAAGGAAGGAAAACCCGAGAGGTCAGTCAGAGCAGAAAAGAGCGCAAAAGGGGAAGCACACACACAACTATCCTCAGAACCCCCCAACATTCACCCATCCCAACACAAATTTTCAATCCTCCCACAGCTTCCCCCCAAACCCCCCAAACCCTGAAACCACAGTTTTTACCGGTCTCCCCCCCTCAGGCCCCCCCAAACACAGTGTTGGAAAGGAAACTGAAGGTATGGTACACAAAGTGATGGAATAACAAACAAGTGGGAGGAGTGGCCGAAAGAGTCAAAAAAGCATCACCAGGGGCATTTTAGCGATCAAGAAAAACCCAAATTACAGTATGATAACAGATGCATCTTTCCAGCGGGTACCAGTTTTGAGAAAAGACAGAAGGAAAAGGGGGGTGGAGGGGTGGGATTGCTGATCAAAAACCGATGGAAATTTTTATGAGCGGAGGAGGAGAAGGGAGAAGAAAGGATTACATAGCGGGAACGCTTCACTCTGGTGGTCCCCGGTGATAATTGCAGGATGATAACCCACCCAGAACAGCAGGAGGCCCCAAAGGCAAGAGTATGACGAGAGCAATAGAGGATGGTTGACACACTGGCTGCGTGGCCCGAAGAGCTTGCATGAGGGCAAAGCTCCTGATCATGGGGGACTTTAAACCCGGAATCGAATGGGGAACTTGGAGCCCCCATGGGGGCCAAGATACATGGAGGACTAATGATGGAGGTGGTTTGGAAACTTCATGTACCAAAACCCTAAGGGAACACAAGGAGAGAGGAGGGATGAACCAGCAAGATGGATTAGTATTACCCTTTAGTAGTGAGTATTGAGGACATCCCTATAAAAACCCCTTGGGGCCGCGTCATGTGGTTTTGAGCTTTGAAATAACAGTAGAGCTCCCCGTGGGGGGGAAACAGGAAGGCCAGGACAAATGAAACAAACTACAGGAAAGGGGACTAAACGGAAAGAGGAACTTCCTAATGAGGTTCAGTGGGAAGAGAACTGGCAGGGAAGCCCTTTAATGAGTGATGGAATATGTAGCAACAAGTGCGGGGTGGGGGGGGGAGAGGTTTGTCCCCAAAGGGGAACAGGAATAATGAAAAAGCCAGGATGAGCCCCTGTTCACCCAAAGAT